TGCCCGTGGTAGTTTTCATCCTGCTCTTCCCCCTCCTCAGTGAAGCTTCATTCTGGTCTCTTGTCCATCATTGTTGATACCTCTGCAGCTTGCCTTGTTGCAGCGTAATCTCACCTAATCACTGTCAACCGAGCCAGATAAGAACTGCCGGTGGAGAACCCAGGCCAGTATCAGGACGTTCTGTGGCATGACTGACCCAGATGACAGAGTCCTCCACATCACAGTCCCAAAAGCCCTTTAATATTCCCTGCGGATCCCGGTTCAACCTCCCGGGTGGAAGGTTCTATTTCCCCCAGCTACATCCTTATTCTGCTCCTCATGCCCATTGAGCTGACACTCTTTGGTAAGGCAGCCACTTGCCAAGGTTGTAACCAACTCAACCTTAGAATTTCTCACTTGAGACGGTGAGGCTGATCTTGATTTTTAACTTTTTTTTAAAAAAGGAGAGTAAATTTTGGACTTACAAACTTGCAAACAATAAGTAGAGAAATTTCTTCTATACCCTTCATCCAGGTATCCTAATGTTAAATGTTACATAACCATGTACTATTAGCAAAACCCTGGAAGTTAACATTGATACAATACTATTAATACATTGCAGCTCGTATGTTGAAGTTCACCATCTTTCCTATTAATACCTTTCCTTTTTTCTGGTCCAAAGCAAACCTCGAATCCAGATCTCATACCTTTCTTCCTTCCGCTCTACTCGCCCAGGCCTTAAGTGCCAGTGGGGTGGAATCCATAGCTCAACGCAACCTCAAACTCAATGCCACTCAAGCGATCCCACCTGCCCAGGCCTCCCAGAGCTGCTAGGATTACAAGGTGTGGAAGTTCACGGAGCCCCAGCCACCATTTGTTTCTTGAGTTTGTTCCATCTTTAGGCCTGTTGTGGAGCTCTGTTAAACCAATTGGCTTGTATTCTTTCTCTGTTCCTGTCTGTGGTCCTCTGTCTCTCTTTTTTAATTTGAAACAGTCTCCCTCTCTGTCATCTGGCTTAGAGTTGCAATGGTGTGGATCATAACCTCACGGCAACCTCCAAATTTCCTGGGCTCAAAGCCCAATTTGCCTGCCTCAGCCTCCTGAGTAGCTGGGATTACAAGTGTGTGCCATCACTCCCTTGAACCAACTTTTTATTTTCTCTTTTAAGGATGGGGTTCTCACTCTGTGATCAGGCTGGTCCCTTCCACCCCTTGGCCTCCAAGCAGCTCAATTCGCTCCATCTTGGCCCCTCACAAACTGAGCCAACCAGCCTGGCTCTGGCTATTCTTTCAACACGGCACATTCCTTTCTGAGCACCCTTACCTTGTCTACCACAAGCCCCAATTCTTTCCTATTTTCTCTGCCCTAGACTGGTAATCAACCAATTCTCAAAGTGTCCCAAGTTCCTTTTATTGAGAACAGTAGACTACAACTGAATTTACACCCACACTGAATCAAACGTTTCAGAAGGGTTGGGGTTGCTTGTTAGATTTGGGAAATTTCCAGTGGCACATTCAACCAATGCTAGTTCACTATGCACATTGCAAAAAAAGTAATTGCCACCGCAGACTGTCATGGTGGGGCGTGTTTTTCTCTCTTTTCCTTGTTAAAGCTCTTCGCAGATTCTGCCTCTACCAGAGTGGAACCAAACTGCCACCTGGATTCTCCACGGTGGCCATCTACTAGGTATTGCCAGATTTAACCCAATTCAGCTCCCAGCTCTCTTCTCTCCTGCCTCTTCCAGCCTCTTCTGAAGTATCCAATCTCCAAACTGGGCCTTCCTCACATTCCCAAATGGCATTCCAATCCCATCACTGCTCAGCACTCCCCTCTCTGCTTATTTGAACATCTCGTCTTGCCTTGCCTTACCACCATCTATCCTGCCCTTACCTGGTTTTCGTGCACGCTGCTGTGCCGGGGCCCTCTACTGCGAATTGCCTTGGGCGCAGAGGAAGTGCTGTGGGTAGAGGAAGTGACGTGGAATGCAAGCGATCCTGTGTGCCGGTGAACAGCGTCTGAGTCCCTCTGGTCTAAGAGATTGCTTTCCTGACTCCAGCTCCTAGCCCTCCTTCCCTGGTAACGCACAGTTGCTTCCCTCTTCCTGTCTACTTTGTTTGGAAAGGGCGGCAAAAACACCATCCAGAAGTGCAGCAGAGCCTCCCTTGCCATCACTTTCTCTCCTTCCTGTCTACGGTAATCCCTCTGAGACCTTACTTGGAATGGGCTTTGTAAAGACGTCAATCAACCTAGAAAAGAGTCATTAAGGGGCCTCTGATGCCAGGCGACCTTGTGTCTTATAGGAAGAGGAGAAGAGCTGTACAGAGGAAAGACATTTTTGGAGCATCCCCATATGTGCGGAAAACCTCCCTCGGGTCGGGCAGGGCACAGCGGAGAACCTCCCATGGTTTCTCCTCAAGGACAGACCCATGCTGGAAGGGGGAAGACAGACTGTTTTAAGTGACAAATGAAGGACTGGATGAAACAAGCATGGTAGTCCCAGGTACAAACACATTGCTACCAGAGAAGCAGAAATGGAAGAGCATGAAGCCCACCCATACTGGAAGAGGACGATAATCATGTGCACCATCTGGGGAATGGTCATGCTGGAGACTCAGACTTGTGGGGGGAGGGGAGGAAATGGGCACTTATTGAAACCTTAAAATCTGTACCCCCATAATATGCTGAAATTAAAAAAAAAAGAATAAACCCACTCAACAATTCTATCTCAAATAAAAATTAAAAATAAGTTGAAGATTATAGAAGAGGGAGTTTCTAGCCTATACATGAAAAAAACGAATAAACTTTTGGAAATTGTTACTTATTTTGAAAATGTGGTCCATGAATATGTTTTAAAAGGGTTGTAAACCTGTGGATAATTTTGTGTTTCTATTGGCATTATTACAGGGAGAATTTCCATGAGGTTAAGAACGATTCGGATAGAAGGTAATTAGATACACAATAAATAAATATGCTTTAATTTGAACATCTCTCTCAACCCTTGATGAACATATTTGTTAATTGTATTGTTGATATGTCCTTCTTGTACTATTTTGTTCTTTAGGAATATCATTCTCATAGAATGAATTTCAGTGATAAAGTGAAGAGTTGTTTGAGGTGAATATTAATAGTGTGCTATGATTGACTTCAAGGGTTTTAATATTAAAACAAACCATTTGGACGTGACAAAAGGGCACGTGTTCCTGTGGCTCCACTGCCAAAGATGGGACAACTTGATCATAAAAAGAGGAATACTGAATGCAATTTAGCAAAACATTTTGAACATATAGAAACCCACAAATTACTGCTATACACATTTATGAGACAATTAGGGAAATTTGAAGATTGACTGTGTATTGGAATATACTAATAAATTATTGTTAACTCTTTGTTGTGATAGTGGCAATGTGATTATGTTAATAAGAGGGGGCAGAGGTGTGGGAAAATACAAAATAAAAAGAAGTCCTTATTTTTTAGACATACATATTAAAGTATTTATGAATAAAATAATATATTGCCAAGGATTTATTCAAAATAATCCAAGGCTGGGGTCAGGGCAGGCAGTAAGGGTAGGGATGAAACATGACAGGTCAAATATTAATAATTATTGAAGCTAAGACAACAGTCTCTTTACTTTGGAATGCATTTGAAATTTTCCTTAGAGAAAACACAAAAACAATCTCATGAGTTCATAGTCCAGAATTGATTTGAGACTGAAAGAATAAAAAGAAAAAATAGCAAAAACAAAGAAAACCAATGCATTGGTCAACACTAAATGTAACTAGGGTATTCTTCCCTCTTTACTCTAGAAATAAACAGTTAGAAAGAGTGAAGCATTTACCCCACCTTTTTTGTATGCACTGAATTTTAGAGTAGTCAAATAGCCATAATTGATAAGGAAAAACTCTTTCTCTCCTCTCTCTCTCTTTTTTACTTTACCTTAGAAACGGGTTCTCACCCAGGCTAGTCTCAAACTCCTGGGCTCAAGTGCTCCTCCTGCCTCAGCCTCCCAAATAGCTGGGACTATAGGTGCACACCACCACACCCGGCAAGGGAAAACTCTACAAAGGCATCCTAGCTGATAAATCTGGCAAGAATGTTCACATTAGAAAGTCACCGCTTGCAATCCTTTGTGTGATAATAGATTCAAACAAGGACCATCAATAGATGAAACCATTAGGTTTAGGTGGAAGTTTGATGAGGAAATTTACAGGAGGGGTCAAGCTTTTCCATCATAAATCTTCTGATCAATCTTAGCATCACTAAAAGAGACAATTACCATGTGCCACCTGGATAACGCAGTCAGTATAAAGTACACAGAAGCATCTATGAAAAAATACTCTTCCTCAAAGAGCTGACCTCGAATCTAATCAAACCTCTAGAGGTAACAAGTTAAATAACAGGATAAATGACCGTCTTTTACAGCAAATCAAAATCATTATAAAAAGGGCAGAGGGAGTTCTGTGTATGTGTGAGTTATGGTATATTTTAGAATTAAGAAGCAGAGTGAGTACATTATATGGAAAAAATAAAATTACACACTTTTCAGGCATGTAAAAACTCTTGATATTTGATGAAAACAAGGAATCGTTAATTTTTTGAAGTATCATATAGTTATGCAAGAAAATATCTACTTTTTAGAGAGTAATATTGAACTATATGGGCACGAAGGGACATGGTGTCTAGGGTTTGCTTTAAAATACTTAGAAAAATAGATTAAACGGGGAAAAGAAGGGAGAGAGCTGAAAGGGCAAAATCTTGATAATTATTGAGTGTGGTAATTGGTCTGGAGATTCCCTATACCATTTTCTCTACTTTTGCACATTTTGGAAAACTTTATATAGTAGGGAGGTGTTAATACCATGACACAGGAAGTTAAGTCCATTACCATTTTCAGTAAAGTTTCAGAGATGTGAGAGGTAAATGTATTCAGAAATTCTTATTCCCATGCACTAGGTTTATAGTATTGATTATTTGCTTTAGCCAACAGTAATTAAAGTCCCCACCCAAAAAGACCAATGGGCTGGTGGGCAAGACACATTTTTATTGAAAGTTCTAAATTCAGCTAACCAATCAATGAACCACATTTAGACACACAATGTGACAGAGGGAAACAGTTGGCTACTTTGTGTCCCAAACTACCTTTGCCATTGTCTTGAGTCCTTGGAAATATTTGGTAGAGCATCCTGGTAATACTTCCCATATACTCTTGGGAATCTTGGATTTGCAAAGCCCACACAACCAGGAAATTCCTGTTTCTCAAACCGCAGGATGCACTTGGCTCTTCGAGGGACATTTGTAACAGAGAAAAAACAACCCACTTAAGAGCATCAGGAAGGCAGCTATACTTGCCACTAAAGCGGCATTCCCGCTTTCCTGGGTATCTGGCTTGAAGGGCATATAGAAAGATGGCGGGAAGGCAATCCCCTGTAAATTTTTGATAGAGTAGTAATTCTGGAGCACGGCAAGTGTGATACAGGCAGCAGCAATTAAATTCAGCATCCCCGAAAGAATGAATGGATTGCAGGCATGCTTCTGAGTGATTCCCACGTATACATTCCTAAGTGCAAGGATACTGAAGAGTCTCCCCAGGAGCCCTAGAATGCTGGCAATCAGCAGGAGGTGTTGAGCACTACGAACCTCGAACGGGAGAAAGTCATCAGAGTAGGAGTACCGATAACAAACTTTGGCTGTGCTAATGTTGGTGTCATGATGGTAGATGCAGACTCTCCACATTCCCACACAGGCAACGCCAGTGGGGAAGAACGTGGGGTCGTCCATGTGCCACACTCGCCACTCCACAAGGCCCATGGAAGTTGTACAGAGGATCCATCCTATGGTGGCAATAACGAAACCAGGCACTTGGTGATTGGCGCCATTGATGACCTGGGTCATGGTGGCAGCGTGCCCAACGTAACTGCAACGACACAAGACATGGTGAGGTTGGGACCCTTGGGTCTGGGACAGCACCCCCATGGGTGAGCAGTACCAGCAGGGAATTCCTATATTTGAGAAAGGAGACAGTTGTCCCTGCTGCTTTGCTGGCAGGAGTACAGCCTTTCGGAAGCCTTCAGAAGGGCCATTTGGCAGTACTTACCAAAGCCTTAAAATGCACAGACCTTCAAACAGGCTGTTTCACTTCTGGGCATTGGCCCAAGGATATAATTAAGACTGGCCAGCAATATTTAGCCACAAAGATGGTCATCACAGTACTGTTTGTAATATTCAAAAATGAGAAATAACATCAAGTCCAACAGTAGGGCTCGGTTAGATAATTTATGCTATATCCATGCAATGGAGCTATATGCCGACATAAAAATGTAGGTGGAATAATAAAGTATCCAATATTTTGTAGTTGGCTCTTTTCAATTGGCATGTTTTCAAGGTTCATGCATGTTATAGCATGTATGAGAAGTTTGTCCCACTTCATTGCTGAATTGTATTCCGCTGTATAGATAGATATACCACAGTTTATCTATTCACCGGTTTTTTTGATGTTTCAGTTGGTTCCATGGAATGGTTATTACGAATAATGCTGCAATGAACATTTGCATATAAAACTTTGTGTGGATATATGTTCCTGTTTCTCTTGTGGAATACCTAGGGGTGGAGTTGGTGCTTCACATGGTAAGTGTGTATTTCTTCGAAATTGCTAAACTGTTATCCCAGTGGCTACATCATTTTACATGGCCATCAGCAGTGTATGAAGGTTCCAGTTTCTTCTCCAACATTTGTTATTTTTAGTCTTTTTGACAATAACCATTCTAGATAACATTATATGTGACCAAAACGAAGGTGTTCACAGTATATCAAGTATCAACAGCATGTTACAAAATAGGATGCACAATACATCACAGATACGAGTTGAATTGGAAGGCTGTATGCTGAATTACTAAGAGAAATTTCCAACTGTGTTCGAGGGATTATAACTTTTTAAAGCTATTTGTATTGTGAAGAATCACGTACATATAGGAAAGTGTAGAAGGTCTACGTGAACAGCTCAATGAATTATGACGGGGCAAACACCCATGTAGCCACTACTTAGTTTAAGGTATGCAGTATTTCACTTCCTGAATCTAAAATGCAGGTAACAAAACCATAAGTATATACAGTAATATGATCTGATTTTTGCTAATAACATGTGCTGGGAAGATACAAAACAAGATACATCTGAATACTGGGATTACTAATGATTTTTCTTTTTCTGTTTTCAGGTTAAAGACTATTACTTTTTTACTTGGAAAAAAGGGTGGCGCATACAGAGATACAAGCAGAGAAATGTACTTGTTAGTGACTATCAAGAGCAATAAACACATGGGTGTCTTCCAACCCAATCTCCCACCTCTTGGAATCAATTCTAGGGGACAAATCAGACAGTGTGATCCAAGCGCCTGGGCAATGATGATCACAAGCAGTGTGATTGATACTAGGGGTAAGAGAAATCGGAGACCAGTAATATGTGGATCAATATGGATGCTTAAGTAAATTTCCTAATGCCACAAGACAGAACATATTTTCAACCGTTTACAATGAATTGTTTAAAAACATTGTAATGACAGGAAATCCTCACTGTATGTTCAGAGGGGAAATGGGTGCAAAAGAATGTATAATATGTATGTCATTATGTTCTGAAGTGTGTGTGTGTCTGTGTCTGTAAGTGTCTGACCTCAGATTTCTTTTTAAAAGATAACTACATGTATATGCATAAAAGTTTGTAAGGCAGTACTTTTGAATGTCATCTCTGGGTGAAAAAAACTCATTTTCGGCTAGGTATGGTGGCATGCCCAGAGAGAGCCCTGGCCCCAGTTCTGGCTTTCCTGAATGCCGTGTACTTTCTCATCTCTGCCTCTTCCCCTCCTCAAGTGAAAGCTTCCTTCTGGTCTCTGTCATCATTGTTGATAGCTCTGCAGCTTGCCTTTGAGCTAATCTCCACTCCTAATCACTGTCACCCCAAGCCAGATAAAGAACCCGCCAGGTGAGGAACCCAGGCTAGTATGGACGTTTGTGGACTGACTGACCCAGATGAGGGGTCCTCATAGTCCAAAGCCTTATATTCCCGGGTGCCGCAAACCCACCAGTCCGAAGGTTCTATTTCCAGCTACATCCTATCTGCCCTGATGCCATTGAGGCTGACTTTGGTAGGCCAGCCACTTGCAAGGTTGTAACAACTCAACCTAGAATTTTCACTTGAGAGGCGAGGCTGATCTTGATTTTTACCTTTTTTTTAAAAAAAGAGAGTAATTTTGGACTTACGAAAATTGCAAAATAATAGTGAGAATTCTTCTATACCCTTCATCCAGGTACTCCTAATGTTAAGATGTTACATAACCATGGTACTATTCACAAAACCTGGAAGTTAACATTGATACAATACTATTAACTACATTGCAGCTCTTATTTGAATTTCACCATTTTCCCTATTAATACCTTTCCTTTTTCTGGTCAAGAAACCAATCCAGGATCTCACCTTTTCTTCCAGCTCTATCGCCCAGGCTAGAGTGCAGTGGTGTGATCATACCTCACTGCAACCTCAAACTCATGCACTCAAGCGATCCACCTGCCCAGGCCTCCTAGAGTGCTAGGATTACAGGTGTGAGTCACGGAGCCCAGCCACCTATTTTGTTTCTTGAGTTGTTTCATCTTAGGCTGTTGGGAGCTTGTTAACATTGGCTCTGATATTCTTTCTCTGTCTCTGTCTCTGTCTGTGTCTCTCTGTCTCTCTTTTTTATTTGAAACAGAGTCTCTCTCTGTCATCCTGGCTAGAGTGCAATGGTGTGATCATACCTCACTGCAACCTCAAATTCCTGGGCTCAAGCCATTTGCCTGCCTCAGCCTCCTGAGTAGCTGGGATTACAAGTGTGTGCCATTACTCTTGACCAATTTTTATATTTCTTTTAGGGATGGGGTCTCACTCTTGCTCAGGCTGGTCTTGAACTCCTGGCCTCAAGCAGTCAACCTCTCATCTTGGCCTCACAAACTGAGCCACCACCCCCAGCCTGGCTCTGGTATTCTTTCAACATGGCTACATTCCTTTCTGAGCACTCCTTACCTTGTGCTACCACAAGGCCCATTCTTCTATTTTCTCTGCCCTAGACCTGGAATCAACCATTTCTTCAGAGTGTCCCAGTTCCTTTTATTGAGAACAGTAGGACTAAACTGAATTTTATCACCACACTGAGAATCAAACTGTTCGGAAGGGTTGGTGCTTGTTAGATTTTTGGGATTCCAGTTGGCACATCAACCAAATGCCTTAGTTCAACTAATGCACATGGAATAAAATTAATTGCCAGGCAGACTGGCATTTGGGTGGGGCGTGGTTTTCTCTCTTTCTGTAAGCTTCTTGAGATTCTGGCCTCTACCCCAGAGTTGGACACCCAACTGCCCACCTGATGTCTCCACGTGGCCATCTACTAGGCATTGCAGATTTAACACGTCCAAGTCAAGCTCCCCAGCTCTCTTCCTCTCCCTGCCTCTTCCAGCCTCTTCTGAAGTATCATCCTCCCACTGGGGGCCCTTCCTCACAGTCTCCCAGAAATGGCACTTCGCATGCCATCGCTGCTCACTCCCTCTCTACTTACTTTTTCAACATCTGCGTCTTGCCTTGCCTTACCCACCATCTTCCCTGCCTTACCTGTTCCGTGCACTGCTGCTGTGCCGGGGCCCTTACTGCGCTGCTTGGCGCAGAGGAGGTGCGTGTGGGTGAGTGAGTGAGTGAACGCAAGCGATCCCTGTGTGCGGTGACAGCTCTTGAGTCCTCTGGTCTAGAGGATTGCTTCCTGACTCCAGCTCCTAGCCTCCTTCCTGGTAACGCACAGTTGCTTCCCTCTTCCTGTCTACTTGTTTCAGGGCGGCAGACACATCCAGAGTGCAGAGAGCCTCTTGCCATCACTTTCCTCTCCTTCCTGTCTACGTATCTCATGAGACCTTATTTGGAAATTGGGTCTGTAAAGACGTAATCAACTTAAAAAGAGGTCATTAAGGTGGGCTCTGATGCCAGGCGACTTGTGTCCTTATAGGAAGAGGAGAAGAGCTGTACAGAGGAAAGACATTTTTGGAGCATCCACTATGTGCGAAACACTCCCCTGGGTCCGGGCAGGGCACAGCGGAGAAGCTCCCATGCTTCTCCTCAAGGAAGACCCACTGTGGAAGGGGAGACAGATTTTTAAGTGACAAATGAAGACTGGAGAAACAAGCATGTGAGTCAGGTACAAACACATGCTACAGGAGAGCAGAAGATGGAGAGATGAAGCCACATATGGAAAGGAGAAGTTCTTTGAGGGCAGATTGTCCTAACTAAACCTAAAGGAGGAGTCCAAGTGTTAGAAAATCGGGACGGGTGGGCGAGCCCTGTAGTCGCAGCTACTCAGGAGGCTGAGGCAGGAGGATCGCTTGAGCCCAAGAGCTCAAGTTCAGACTAAGCAGCAGAGACCCCATCAGGAAGGAAGGAAGAAACAGAGAATTTCTTCAAAGAGAAATGGGGAGAAGGGAAGGCCACTGTCAAGTGCTTGCATTGAATTGACTGCCAAGGTCACACTCCATATCCCGGCCGATATCAGAAATCCTATTCTAATGGCCAGAACATTCCTGGCACATGCCAAATTATAGCCTTTTTTTTTTTTTTTTTGGCCAGATAACCCTGAGCAAATTGTTTTGAAGGGCGAGTTTAGCTGGCACCTGGGCAGGGACCTGAAGAGTTGAGGCGAGTGAGTGTCATGGAAGGTATGCGGTTTTGGGGGGAGTAACTTTGGGACACCTGCCAAGGTTGGGCCACTGACGTGCGTGCAAGGTCACAGGACTCTGTTGAAGAGGGAAATTGAAGCCTGTGTTACAGATGGCAGGCCCACCTTGGGCTGGCACCGAAGTGGACAATGGGCTCCCTCTGCAGGGCCAGGGACGGTCGGGCCACGAGCCCACCAGCTCCTTGATACGGGTGCATTCGGAGAATAACATTGTGAAAAGCAACTGCACATTAATTTAATTGATTGAAGGTCGTGGCTCCCTCTGGAGTCCCAGGGATGGGAACACTGACTCTGTCTCTCGGGGCAAGAGATCCAGAGGTGCCAGCAAAGCCACAGCAGGGAAGTCGCCTTGTCCTGAACCGGAATCAGCACATTCTGCAAAAGAGCACTGCATTCCAGCCCCAGGTCTCTTGTGGGAAATCCCAACAGAATAAGAACTTCCGGGACCATTGGACTCAGTGAGGTGGGAGGAGTAGGGAGGGAGTTAACGCAGTTTGAAAGGGTGAACAGTTGTCATGACAGCCCAGGACATGGGACCAGAAGGAGCAGGAAGAGCAGGCTGCAGAGAAAGGCTGCCATAAACGACGGGGCCACAGATGTTAACAGTGTTTGTTTGGATGACTGTATTTCAAAGTAACTGTAATCCTGGGCATTCTGTTTTTTGCATTTGAAAATGTCTTTTCTGGAAAGGTGTGTGTAGGCTTCACTAGATGTTAAAGAGATCTGTGCACAAATGAGATTACCAAGCTCTGCTTTCCAAGGTCCCTGCCCATAGGGGGGCAGTGAGACAGGACAGCCACAGTGAGGCTGCTGTAGCGCTCCAGATCTGAGACGAGCCCACACACACATACACACACACACACACCCCTATACACACACAGATCCCTATACACGCACCCCTGAACAGACACCCATATACACACATGCATCCCCTATATACACACAGACCCCCATATACACACATGCATCCCCTATACACACACACACCCCCATCCACACACACACCCCTATACACACAGACCCCTATACACACAGACCCCTATACACACACACCCCTATACACACAGACCCCTATACACACACACCCTTATACACACAGACCCCTATACACACACACCCCTATACACACACCCCTATACACACACACCCCTATACACACACACCCCTATACACACACCCCTATACACACACACCCCTATACACACACACCCCCATCCACACACACACCCCTATACACACACACCCCTATACACACAGACCCCTATACACACACACCCCTATACACACACACCCCCATCCACACACACACCCCTATACACACACACCCCTATACACACACACCCCTATACACACACACCCCTATACACACACCCCTATACACACACACCCCTATACACACACCCCTATACACACACACCCCTATACACACAGACCCCCATCCACACACACCCCCCTATGCACACACACACACAGGTGTCCACGGGGGCGTGTGCATGCACTGAGGAAGAAAGATCCGTTACTGGGGTAAACGTTACAGAACAGTGTGTATTTTAGCGTCTCCTTGTATAAATCTGTCAGGATATACATGGCTTATTTCCAGGCGATATTCTGCAGGGACAGCACCTGGAGCCGCCACAGGCAGGCCCCTGAGGGGAGGGCAATGCCCTGTTCACAGTATGTCCTTGGCACAATGCACTTACCATTCACATGCCGGGGTTTCCATTAATGAGGCAGAGATGAGCATGAGACAGAGAATGACAGAAAGAGAGAGACACACGGAGACGGAGAGAATGAGAGAGAAAGTGGGGGAGATGTCCTTGCAAAGAAAGCTGCTCAAAATACTTTTCTTAGTAAAAGCCTCAGTTGCAGAAGAGTTTGTATACAAGTGGTTCCATTTCTGTGGACGTTAAGGAAAATGTATGATGCATATTTGTGTACGTATAACTACACAAGATATATGTATACAACATGCACATGACAGAGTGTCTGGGTGAGGAAACGGGTAACAGTGGTCACCTCTGGGAGGTGGGGCTGGCTCGGGGGCTGCAGAGAAGCTGGTCACTGCTTCAGAGAGGTGCAGGCATAGGGACGCTCTGAAAGCTGCCCGTTGTAGAGAGGTCTGCATCTGGAGGGGATGCTCCCTTAGTGAAGGGGACAGCACACGCGACCAGGCTTCTCTGAGACACCTGTATCTGCGCTGTCAGGACGTAGGCAAGAGCAACGCTCAGCAAAGGGAGTTCTCACAGAGAAACTGTCTCCAGGCTACTGTCCAGTCTCTCTGCGCTGTCACCCGAGAGACTTCACATGCACAGCAAGGCAGCCAGGACTCTTGTCCCGTGTCCCTTCCGAGACCTGCCTCCTCCTCCCCACAGGAGCCCCACGCCCGTCCACCTTCTATGCCTCTAAATACTTCAGCGGTCTGGCCCTTCTTGCAGCCTCGTATTTTGTGTGGCTCCCGTGCACACGTGCACGCGAACAAATTTGCATGCTTTTTCTCCTGTTCACCTGTTGTGTGTTTTATAGACTCAAGTTATCAAAACTTTGGGTGGCAGTAGGAAAATTCCCTTCACCCCTACTGAGAAGTGCACTGCATTTAGCGTCTGTCATTCGCTTTTATGTTAGCTCAATAGAAGGTACCAGGAGACACACCTACTTCTGCATTTGATCTTTTGACAGCAAATGACAGGGAGCCTCTACAAAGGTCCACTGCACACTCATGAGAGGAAGAGAGTGAAAAAGCTACAAAACTTGATATTGTGAAAATCATTTTGACCTTGGGGACCCCACCCACACACTACACACCCCAAAGGAATCTTGGAGACACTTGGGGGTCTGCAGATCACACTTTGAGACCCAATCTTCTATGGGTTTCGTGTTCGTCTACACCATTTCATGCTGCAAACAACCCTTCCAAGTGCGCAGTACTCTTATCCCCATCTTAGAGTTGAAAGGACTGAGGCCAGAGAGGTTAAGTAACTTGTCTCAAGTCACACAGGGAGCGGGTGGTAGAGCCAGACAGCCGGTCACACACTCCATCCTCTCAGCACAGCATTTGTGGGTGAGGCGGGAGCAAGTGCGGTTAAGGCCTGTGGTAGGAGTCATTCGGGAAGGGAAGGGCCCCGTCCTCTGAGCTGAGGGAGGAGGGCAAGCTAGGGTACGGATTCGGGACCCTGGCACACTGGGCGCCTTTCCCGAAACACTGAGTCACACGCTCAGGGGATGTGGACGCGGCACAGATATTCTCACAGCTCCCTGGGTGGTGCCCACGTGCAAGTAGGCGGACAAGCCACCGAGGCGAGCAAAGCTATTCAGAGGTGGGGGATGGGGAGACCATCAGCCCAGGTGGCCTCTGTTGGACGGAGAGGCGATCCCCACTGCAGCAGGGAACAGACTAGAACAAAAAGCTGTCAGGGACAATGGATGCAATCAAGAAACTAAGTGATAATCTAAATGTATAACCTCAAAGCCATTAGGGTGGCTACTATTTAACAAACACCCCAGAAAGTGACGAGTGTGGTGAGGAAGTTCTGAGCTGGAACCCCGCACATTGCTGCTGGGACTGCAACCTGGCACGGCCGATGGGGAAAACAACATGGCAGTTCCCAAAAAACTAAAAACACAATGACCACCGGATCTGACAACTCAGCGTCTGGGTATACACGCAAAAGAAGCGAAAGCAGGGACTCAAAGAGATACTCACAGCAGCATCCTTTGCAAGGGCCAAAGGGCGGGCGCTAACCCAAATGGCCCCAGACGGACGAACTGACAAACAAAATGTGCTCTAGCCCTACGACGGGCTGTTATTTAGCCTTTGAAAGGAAGGAAAATCTGGAGCATGCTGCAACACAACGAACCTTGAGGACATTGTGTCCTGAAATAAGCCAGTCACAAGGGGACAAGTCCTGTGTAATTCCACGTGTGTGAGGCTCCCAGAGGAGTGAGACTGGCCGAGGGGGAAAGCAGCCTGGGGTGCCGGGGAAGGCGGGGAGCGCTGCTGTCTGCTGGGTGCAGCTCCAGTTCTGTGAGACCAGAAGCGTCCTGACACGGGCTGGCTGCACAGCAAGGAGAACGGACCTAACACTACAAACGACACACCTAAAGTAGGCGTAATTCATGTCATGTGCATTTTACCACACAACGAAAAATATACAATGAACAAGGGCTGAGCCTCTACTAACCTGTGAAACGGTGTCAGAGTGATGCGTCGAGTCGGGAGCAGCACCACGTCACTGGCCTGGGGGGGCCAGTGTGGATGCGGCTCCACTCCGAAGCCCTGCGGGACTGTTTGTTCCCTCATCTTGTCTAGACTGTCTAACACCTCGGCCACACCAAGGCCCTTCTCTGAGGCCCTTCCCTCGGCCTTGCACCGGGTCCCCACATTCCGTTGTCGCCCACTGCCCTCACCTAGGTTCCATGTGGCTAGGTCACAAATGCCATGGCAGCGCCCATTCTATGTGGCCACAGCACGGTCCTGGTTCCCTTCCGTTATCATGTGTAGCCTTGGTAGGGGGGTGTTTACTACGGGGTCTTCAGACGACCTTCAGAGTGCACTTCAAGATCCATCTGAGTCCCCTGCCTCCTAATCACGTCTTCTCTGCTCTCCCCTGAAATGGAATCTCCCAATACCGCCTGGAGGTGATGACATTTCTTAAGCAAAGGGAAAATGTAAGTGCAGGTGTTGGCAGAAGTGGCACCACCTCTTTGGTTGTGAAAGCCACTGACAACCAACATATTAGGAGAGACTAATTCATGGGAAACGGTCTCCTTCTAGTTGAGTCTCAGCTTAGAGGCCTGTTGGGACATGGTACACAGGGGTAAGACCAGCAGGATGTGTAAGATCATTCCTAATTTGTGAGAAATTGGCTTGCTAAGATTGAGGATAGCTTCCACTGGAGCTCCTGGAAGAAATTACGCTGCCAAAAAGATAAGTGATGTCAGCTAGCCAGCACTTAGGAGTAAATGTTATATAGAAGCCAAAATTCCACTGCAATCTTTGGCTTAGAGTGTTTTCCACAATAAGGAATTTATCCCAATCAAATGAGCAGAAATGTGTACAAAGAGTTAAGTGCAAAGCGCGCCCAAGGAACTTTGTAACTCAGATGACAGCTGGGACTCAAAGCAAAGATCCTAAAACCACATGTAGAGACTATGTCCACGAAGCCACTTTCTATCCTCATAATCGGAATCATACAGTGACTCAACACTATGTTGAAGAATAAGTAAGTAAAAAGTCCCCAATATCGCTAAGAAACAGATTTTAAAACTATGTGATGAGCATAATCTTGTTTCTTCAAAAAAGCAAAAGGAAAGGGAGAGATGAAGAAAGGAAAAGGAGGGAGGGAGGGAAGAAAGGAAAGGAGGAAAGAGGGATGAAGGGGAGGTGGGAGGGAAGGAAGGAGGGAGGGAAGGAAGGACAAGAGGAGGGAGGAAAGGAAGAAGGGAAGGAAGGAGGGGAAAAGGGAGGCAAGGAGGGAGGAAGGGAAGGAAGGAGAGCAAGAGGGAGGGAAGGAGGGAGAAGAGGAGGGAGGGAGGAGAAAGGAGGAGGGAGGAGAAGGGGGGAGAAGGGACATGTGGACAGGTTAACTTAGGTGGCAGAAGAGCCTTTGCAGATGTGATTAACCAGAGGATCCTGACACGGAAAGGCGGCCCTGCATGGTCCGGGCGGGTCCCAGGCAGCACGAGGGCGCTTGTGAG